TTATATAGAATATAAATATCTTCAGACAATGACCTCATCCTCACAGAAAGTCACTCTTCATGTATCCTGTTCATTTTCAGCTTCAAATTCATAAACAAACATAACTTTCAAAACACTGCTTAATCCCATCTCTTCTAACTTGGAGTATTTTCCCCCAGGTTTTCTTCTACAAGGGAATGGTCAAGGAAGCAAGTGGAAACGTACAGCCCGGGCAGGACGTAATAGAGCACCAGTGGCTCTCGCAGGACCAGCTGGACGAGAGATTGAAGCGATCCTACGCTGATTCCGTGTCAAGGTTCCTGGTGTCAGACAAGTGAGCAGGATGTGGCACTTGATCACTAGCATGTATAATATACCAAGATCAAGAAGGTTTTCAGTGAATAGGATTGTAACGCAGTATAAGTGAAATAGGTACCGTATCTCAGAATGCTGTGCGCAGTCCTTGGTTTCCTTTGTGGCTCCATGTAAATATTTAAAAAATGTTTTTGTAATAAAGCATTATATAGAAAAAAAATATTTGGATATTTTCTTTCAACCATTGCATATCATTCTTGAATGGTGTAGAAATATATATTTATATATGAAAATTTATACAGTTATTTGCAGGTATAGAAATAATTTATTTAATTTTGTTATCCATATTTATTATAGTATTTTTCAGATAATGTAAAATATTTTCAAAAATCAAGGAAAAGGGTAAACAGGCGAGAGAGGCAGTACTCGTAGTTGGCTCATTGGTGACTTAGTACATCTGTGTGTAAAAACAATTAATAAATTAAACTCATAGTGGGCATGGCATGTATGTACATGCCATGCCCATTGGATTTGGGTTAAGAAAACAAATATGGCTAACACATGGGAAGTAGGTCATAAAATAACTTTCACTATTTCCTTTTTCTTTCTTTAGTATATTTTATTATCCTCTTTTATATGAAACCTTAAAGGTAACGTACATAGAACAATATATAAAGTGCATCCCCTTAACTTAAGGATGAAATATAGATCAAGAGTAGAAAAGACATTGATAACTTTGACCAAAAGGAAAGTTAATCATAGTGCTAATCAAAATGCATGGTGGAATTAAAAAACAATAATGATAAATCAGTAAATTGCACTTAACTCACAGGTCATGGATTCATGTGCCTTCCATTGTTTTTTTTTTTTTTTTTCATGAATTTTATTGCTCACATATTGTTTCACAAGTGCTCAGTTAGTAGGGATGAGTGATCTCACCTGATTTCTATACTCCTTGAATATTGGGGACTCTTTTTCTAATGCCATTAATATTAATACTGTTATTATTATTATTATTGACATTATGATTATTATAATGTTAAAATACCATTAACCCATTGCCGCCTAGGAAAATTAATTAAAAAATGCTGTGCTCATTTTTACATTTTTTGTGAAATGTCTCTACACATAGATGGCCCTGCCTTACCTGATTTCATCTTTCCTTGAATTGGTGGGAAAATGTATTTTTTACTAGTGCTATGAATATCGATGGTGTTATTTTTATTATAAACATTATAATTACTATAATGTTATAAATATTAGTAATAACAAAATGAGATAACGTAAAATATTTTCGAAAATTAAAGAAAAGGGTGAACGGGCGAGACAGGCAGTACTCGTAATTGGCTCATTAGTGGCTTAGTACAAGTGTAGCCATCTATGTGTAAAAACAGTCAAACAAGTAAACTCACAGTGAGCATGGTAAGGCATGCCTGTCGGCAATGGGTTAACCCAGTCGCGTCGGGTAAAAATGAACAAAAAATGGGGAAAATGCCGTGCTCATTTTTTTATATTTTTTCGTGAAATATTTCTATGCTAGATGGCTCTGCCTTACCTGATTTCACCTTTACTTGAATTGGCGGGAAAATGTATTTTTACTAGTGCTATGAATATCGATGGTTATTTTTATTATACACTTTATAATTACTATAATGTTATAAACATTAGTAACAACAAAATAAGATAACGTAAAATAATTTTGTAAATTAAAGAAAAGGGTAAACAGACGAGACAGGCAGTACAAGTACAAGTGCAGCCATCTATGGGTGAAAACAATTAAACAAGTAAACTCACAGTGGGCCCATCACGTATACGTGACACCCGGCATGAATGGGTTAACAATAAAAAAGAAAATCTTTTCAAAAATTAAGGAAAACTGTAAATAGGTGAGATAGGTAAGTTCAACAGTCACTGGTGTGACTAAATATTTTTAGAGCCATCTGTGTAAACACAATAAATTAGAATAATAGTGAATATGACATGCATGCCATGCCATACATAACAAATAGGTTAAATATGGAAATTATTTTTAAATCAGGTCACAGATAAAGTTCAAGTGTATCTAAGATTGCAGATTTCATACTCTATTTTTTTACTTTTTATTCAGATTTAGTGCAAGCACAGGTTTACAGACGTGATGATGTTATGTGCTTTGTGTCGTGTTGTTGTCCCAACCTTAAAGAGAAACAGATCTTTTACTCTCAGGCCTGTTGATGCTTTCTCACTGCTGAACAAGAGGCTTTGGTAACTGAAAAATAACTTGTGGAGAATGGCTTGGGAGAAATTATGAATCTAATCAATATGAGGCTCAGCTTTGGGACATTCCTAATGTAACATTGCTCACTGGTAAGTTGGAGAAATGCATATACTGATTACCCATTCGGTGGTAGTTATTTTTTTGTGTTTTACTCTGTCTAAATTCAAATTTGGTACTTATAGATATAAGATAAATCTTAAAAGTAAAAATTAAGTGCAATATTTCCAGAATCTGTAGAATATTACCTGTATGAAACATTCTTACCCTTCTTTTTATCTTAGTAATGTATACAGTGGATCACATCATGTGCAGTACTTCAATATTTAGTGAAAATAAACATATACTCTATGAATATGTAAATATCTAAGTTTGAATAATTATTTTCTAAATTCTGAGTACAAATTTCCTTTCATGTATTTTAACATACCAATGATATATTCATAGTTCACCAACTTAACCCATTGGTGCCAGGGAAAATGAACAAAAAATGGGGAAAATGCTATGCCCACTTTTTATGTTTTTCGTGAAATGTCTGCCGATAGATGGCTCTACTAGCGCCTGATTTGAAATGGCGGGAAAAACGTATTTTTCACTAGTGCGATGAAAATTGATGGTGTTATTTTTATCATAAATGTTATAATTTTTATAATGTTTTTTTAACATTAGTAACAGCAAAATAAGATAACGTAAAATATTTCGTAAATCAAAGAAACGGGTAAACGGCCGAGACGGGCGGTGCTCGTAGTTGGCTCATTGGGGAGTTAGTACAAGTGTTGCCATCTATGCGTAAAAACAATCAAACAAGTACTCACGGTGGGCATAGCACGTACATACACGTCATAGCCGGCACCAATGGGTTAAAAGGCCAGGTCATTGATACTAGCCCTTCCAACTCCTTGCTCGTTGTTGCTGTGGGGGGGCCTTAGGAGATGGGGACTGAGGCCCAATGTAGGGCATCACCCCTACCCTTGTTCTGAACACTTATCTTATGCATTAACTAATTTTTGGCGTTTTAACAATAATAATTTAACATAATGCTCCCAATTCCCTTAAGTCCTTCCCCATCTAACAACCTCATCTATACCCCATAGTACTCTTTAAAATGTAACTTTACCCTTATGATTAACTCATTCCTAACCCTTTTCACTACCATACTTTACCATAGTGCCATATGACCTTTGATGTCATATAGCACTTCATTACCTGGGGGCTTTGTCCCCAAGCCTCACACTATCGCTATATTTTGAATACACTGCTAATGATCTCAGATATTGACATGACAGAAATTTTGCAATAAATAGGAATATGTATACTAAGAATAAAATGTGTAAATACTGATCATGGAAGAAAGAAATAAACTTGAATAAGCATACAAGTAAGATAACTAGAGCAATGGCTGTTTTTACAAAGATAAAGTGCAGAAAAATACTTTAGCTCAGAAAATTAGTTTTGTGGTTTTCACTTGACTTTATTTAGAAACATTTACTATTAAAATACTATCAAGATATCTGTTATTAAAGATGACTTTGTGCAAACCTATAATATTAAAGGCTTTGTTTTTTCTGTGCCTTTAGGATAGATATGCATTTTCTTTATACAAATTAAGGGGTAAATGTCAATATATATTCAGCTGAGGGGGATAAATAGCAAATGAAGGATTGAGAATAATTTTATTTGTTAATCATTCTGTATTTAAATGACTTTATGTTCAGGATTTTTGTACATCTAATTTACTCCTCCCTTGCTTCCTATATTTTTACCTTTGTATTTTGAAATTATTAATATCTCAATAGAATGAAGCTGAAGCAAATAATGGGTTTATATAGGCCTATCTGGAACACTTTCAGGTAATGGCCAGACCTCAAGGGACAATTGTTCTTCTTTAATAATTTACTATTTTGTATCATATGAAAAAAAATAGTCAAGTAAAACTAATGTAGTCAGTAGTTTTGATGTCTGCGCTCAAAGTGTAGATCCTAGGAAATAATTTGAATTCCTCCCTCCCTTCCTCCTTCCTAAAATTCTGTTTTTCTGAGATTCATTTTGATTCAGTAGTTGGGCACAGATTAGGGGCAATTTCCATGAACACTACACCTCAGATTAAGTTTTTGTAATCAAGGACTGTTGAATGATACCAACAGATTTAGGCAAAATAATGAGATTTCTTTTACCATCTATGTGCAGAGACATTTCATTAAAATGTAAAAAAAAAATGAGCACAGCATTTCCCCATTTTTAATTCATTTTTCCCCAGCAGTATGTGGTTAATATTCAGTTGATATAAATAAGATGAAATGCACCATTATACATGAACACACACTCATGAATGATTGTATCCAGAAATTCCTTTTCCACACACAAAAGTTAATGATACTGACCACTTCACTAACATGCCATAGGGAATAAAAATAAATATATATGCTTATCTAAGGTAAGAAAACTATATCTATATAATTTATTATTTATTGCATAATATAAAAAAAAAACTTCAGTGGTAAATCTTTCCCGTAGAAAATGTACCTTACATATTATATTTGTGCATAATCCTTTTTATCACAAAAATATTTGTTCCCAAAGTCTCACTACTATTCAGATTCCACATCGGAATAACAAAGAATATAACAATGGTAATTTACTGCTTTGTGTTTTATAATTTACCATTACTTATAAACTAAATATATTTATACCAAAAATACTACTTTTACGAAAACATACTTTACAGATAAAATGTAACAAAATAAAATTTCCCTTTACCAAATCAACTAGTGTCACAACATTGGTTCTAACAAAGACATATTTATCTTCAGTACAATAAAATTCAAAATTAATATAGTGATATAGTTTAATCTAAATAAGAATCAGATATCTTGCATATTATTATCCTTGAATTAGAATATAATTTTTTTTTTTTCATAAATAATAAAAAATAAAACATTACAGCAAACCTCTTTGCAAAAATTTCCGCTGCCTTTGAAATACAGTTGCCCAAGACAAACATCAGAATAAATAAAAAAGCTTTGGTATTAGACTGACTAAAAAGTAGAAAGCCATTTGAAAGGTTCTGTTTTATCATAAAAATTATGTTAGTCATTATGTATTTTTTTAAATAAATGATTAAGATATCTATCTCCATTTGCAGACATTCATCTGCTCTTTATTTAATTATACCAAGAGAATGTCAACACATAAAAACTACATAATATGCCCATAAAGACTAGTATTAAATAAGCACCAGATAATTCCTACATCAAAAAAGTACCCAAACAGAACCACTAATATCATCATTTGAACTATCAGTAGTGTGTAAAATATTGAATGTATTAGTTTCCAAAGGTTATTATTGCTATGCTGTGGATTAAGAATATGTAAAATTTACTTCCCTACATTATAAATGTTCCAAATACTTTTAAACCTATTTGCACCCAATTCTCTATCCTGCATAGTTCAAAGGTATTTTATACTTTGGTAAAACTGTTCTACTCAGTATTAAATACAGTGAATATTGCTATACATCAACTCCACAAGTATGCATTATATATTGAGCACTGAAAATCTTGCTTATTATAAAAGTTAACAATTGCTCTATGTGCATAATGTGTTGTATAACAATTCATATGACAGTGTTTACTCCACTTTCTTGTTAACAAGCCACAGGTACAGTAGCAAGTAGCTCAGAAGGACCATTCCAGCAAAGCCACTCAGTACAACTTTAATATCCTGAAAAGAGAAGTCTATTAGTCATATACTTATATTCTGAACAAGCTTCAAATTTCTGAGGAAAACCTTTGTCATCAAATCCATGAATTCAGCAACTTCTTACAGCTGCTTAAAGTAGAACATGCATTTTATTTGGTTAAACCAGTGGTTCTTAACCTTTTAATTACCAAGGCCCCCTTTAGCAATTTGTCCTTCCCTCCACACCTCCCTTGTATCTGTAAATAAAATTGCAGCCCAGATTTTAAAAATTATAAGTACAGTATGTTTCCTTAGTCTCTTTAACCCATTCGCGCCGGGTAAAAATGAACAGAAAATGGGGAAAATGCTGTGCTCATTTTTTATGAAATTTCTCTACACTAGATGGCTCTGCCTTACCTGATTTCACCTTTACTTGAATTGGCGGGAAAATGTAGTTTTACTAGTGTTACGAATATCGATGGTTATTTTTATTATAAACATTATAATTACTATAATGTTATAAACATTAGTAACAACAAAATAAGATAACGCAAAATAACTTCGTAAATTAAAGAAATGGGTAAACAGGCGAGACAGGCAGTACAAGTACAAGTGGTGCCATCTATGTGTGAAAACAATTAAACAAGTAAACTCACAGAGAGCCTGTCACGTATACATGACGCCCGGCGCGAATGGGTTAAGGAGTATGAATGAGTGGCATTATAATTAAACTTTCCATTATGTGACTATGCTCTCGTTAAGAGGATATCAAAGATAATTAGAGAAATTACTGCCTTTTCCTAAGGGCTTCTACCCTTTTGGAAAATACTGAAGCCCCCCTAGGGGGTCACACCCCCACATTAAGAACCACTGGGTTAAACTAAAACATTTGCATATAATACCAGGAAAATGTAGTTGTGATTACTTAATAATGGCACAAATATGAAAATCAGAAAACAAATAATGAAAAACAGTTCTATACTTGATAAAGCTTTGGAGAGTTGCTTTTCATCTCCGTATTCTTCTTCAGCACCTTGGCATCAACATTGGTTTTCTTTTTGTACTGAGTTCCTGAGGAAATAAATAGACAGGCATGATGTTTATTTAATAATTCATTATTATTATTTTATTTTTACTCTTAATGTTTTGACATATAAGAGAGAGAGAGAGAGAGTGTAATAATATTGTTAATAAAAAATATCAATTAATAACTGTCTTGGAGAGAAAATAAAGGCAGTGACAATGAGATACTGATGAAAACAATAACAATTGCA